TAGCAGATTTTCTCTTTTGAAGGCTACTTTCAGACGTGGAAAAGCCCTCCTGCAAGAACAGAAGGTAGATAATGGTCCTTGTAAATCCTAGACTCAAGGCCCCAAGCGCAAAAACCACAGATTCCCGGACACCTAAACCCTAAACCCACAGACTCCTAGACCCCAAACCCTCAACCCCTAACCCCGCAGTCCGCCGATGAGCTTCGGCAAAGCCGCGAATCACAAGAGGCGACCCAGCGAGAGAAGGCATGTCCATCCACGCAGAGGGGTTCAGGGTTTAGGGTCTCAACTCCCTGAAAAGGGTTATACAGGTATTAGGGTTCATGGTTTAGGGTTTAGGGTTCAGGGTCTAAACTCCCTAAAGGGGGTTATATAGGGGAGTATATAGGGGACAAGTATAGGGTTTATCAAGGGGGCTACTAGGAGTTTAGACAAAGGCTCATATAGAGCCATCAATGATCAGGTATAGGGTTTAGGTAAAAAGGTGTTCTCAAAAGGTGGACCCCTAGGGAGCCCAGAGGTATGTAGCGAACTTCAAGAAATTGTGTGGTCCATCTTGGAGGCTACATAGGTCCCCAGGGCTCCAGTTACCTAAATAGTGGGAACTGGGTATATACCTTTTAGTTACATAGCCCAGTAGCTTACTATGTAGGTAACTAGGAGCCCTAGGGGGTGTTCTATGATGTCTCTTGGAAGCGCGCACTTTCCGTTGAGGAGTCGCTCAGAATTTCAAAGCCCAAACTATAGCAGGTGGAAAGTTTTATGTGTTATGTTTCTCAGAAAGTCGTAGCTCTTCTTGGGTTTAGAGACATTTCCTTACCCAAACCAAATCGAAGAAGCCATTGCATTGGAGGATCCAGGTTCTTGTCGGGAAAACAGCTTTTGCCACCCCAGCCTCTGGGTTCAGGGTTTAGGGTGTAGGTTAAGGGCCCAAATATAGACCCCCCCAATTCTAAACCCTAATAGGCCAGCAGAGCCCTTAGAGATCTCTAGTTGTTGTTTGGAAGCACTCAGTTACCCTGAACCCTCAACCCTTCGGATCCTTACCACCACAGGGGTTGGGATGGAGTTCTGAAGAGATATACAGGTGCTCTGAACTCATAGTTTAGGGTTTAGGGGTGTTTGGGGTTTATGGAAGGGCCTAAACGATGGCCAACATTATGATTCTACATTCCTTGTAGAGTTTAAATGGGACATCCAGATGGCATCAATAGTTGTTCCGGCTTTTACAATGACAATTCCTATGTATTCCAGATCAAGGAAAACAAAGCAGCGGGCCAGTAAGCAAACTCTTCCCGTCCCCTTAGGTGTACCCGGGGCGAATTTCTTCAAAAGGCTCAAGAGACCAACATGCTAGGCACAAAGCTTTCAATCAGAGGTGGCAGGGTGATTTAAGGTCTTTCACATGCCCAGGGACCTTTAACATGAACCCAGAAACCTAAACCTTGAATTCTAGATCCCGCGCCCTGAACATGGGTTGCGGAACCCAATAAGGGAGATAGTTCACTGGTGTTACTGTTGAAATCCAGTAAGGAAGGTCATTACATTTACATGTATCTCAATCACCAGAAGCCCTTGTCATTCTGAAGAGGCCTCCCTTGCATCGCAAGCCGACGCCCTCAGGCAGTCCATCTCGGGAGTAATTATGGTTGAAAAATCGGCCTAGACCTCATTACTACCCATAGTAACGGCAGAGTGGTTGACTGCCATTATTATGGGCACTTGCGAGGTCTTTTGGTAGGTTAAATTACCTCTTATGGCTGCGGGGTTGAAGTTGCAGGTTAGACTTATGGGACATTCCTGGCAGCTTCATAATATAGGGGGTTATCATGGAATCTGGAAAGAGGCGGCAATAAAGGCAGTTGGCTTTGAGCACGAGGCTTGGGAGCCCCCACCCAAAGTTGGTTCTTGGCGGATTTGAGTGAGTATTGAGACTTCCGGGACCCTGCTTGTACCCGTAAATAGGGGTATAAGGTCCCTAATTCAGGGTCTATTGGAGGTAGATTGAAAGTCTAGACTGCAAGTCGCTAGCAATTCCTCGATGCCACTGGAAACTCGTAAAGCCTGAGATTGGTTTCGGTGCCCGACGAGTCCATGTGGGCACACAGTATATAGCTTGGCCCCAAAATAGTTATAAGGGAGCCTCTTACGACCCTGAGCATATACTACATACTTACATGGACCCATGGAGCCTGCCATAAAATCTTCCCAGTTGCTACTTCATTGTCCATGTTCTTTTCCATTTAATTCTCCAAGGAAACCCTATAACCCACTTAACTACATGGACCCTTTGATTGGATCCCTTCAGGCCATGGAATTAACCTCTTTTGAACTTTGGACTTCCTACAAGTCATCAACTGGTATGTGCATGTTCCTGTCGTAGCTATGCTGAATAAACTTGTTTTCGTTGCTGTCAAACTTACTGGCGGAATTCTATTTTCTAACAAACAACACCAGTCTCCTCCTTGGATCCCAGAACTTCGTCCAGCGAAGTATGACTGCCAATCAGGGTTTCAAACTGAAGCAGCCCACGCAAACTAGTCATCGAAGCTTCAAGATCGGTGCCATCCAGCAACAAATCCAACTGGGCTGTTGTTTAGAGACTTTTTAGATTACTACAACAAGGAAACCTCATTATCTACGATATACCCATTTCATGGTAGCTTAGTTTGAGGTCCTCTACAGCAACCCAGCGAAGGTATTCATCCCCTGCTTGGCATATGGAATAAGTTCGATTGAGGGATAATCTACGGGCTACTATAGGGATCCGTTCCCAATTTCAGTCCTTCACAACTGAACCCAACATGTCCCGAACTTTAGATGGTTGTGTCTGTAGTAGCGTAGTCTTAGTAGGTTCCCTTCTGACAGGGTTGAAGGTTATCTTGAGGAGTGGTGCCAAATTGACATCATCTAGTTGTCAGATGCAAAATATCCCCAACCTGAGTTCCAGGGCCACCCTAGTACCCTTGATGGGGGGATAAATAGCCCCTACTAGTAGGTACTTAAGCCCTTATACAGGGTAAACGGAGGGTCTGCTATGTTCAGTCAATCCCCCCTACAGCAATAGCCCCTGAATATGGAGTGAATGGGGCCCTGATGTACCTACAATAGTCCCTCGCGGTACCCTAAACCTTAAACTGGGTGGGGGATTGACTTAGGTTCATAACTGCTGCATGCTGTAGGTTTTGATGGTCCTGTTCCGTCAGGCGTTTCAAGTTGGAAACAGCGATTTAGGGTTTAGGGTTTAGGGACAGACCACCAGTGCCCTCGGCAGGCCTTTGTGTACTGGACGGCTCCCAAGACCGCATCAGCTATAGTCTACGCTCCTTAAGTGACTTTAAAGCGGGACTATATAGGGGAGCATAAATTATAGGGGTTATTAACGAGGATACTAGGATATGGCAGTCAGTCAGAATCCCAGTGCTGATTCTCGCTACGCTCCGCTGCACGACACAACCGAAGGCAGCATCGTACCTGTAGGTTTGAGGGTTTGGGGTACCCTTCCACGAACGAGTTTCCAAAAGGCAAAGACAGGGTGAGCAAGCTGAAAGTTCTCTAGGCGTAGATGCAAGAAGATAGTGAAGGAGATCGCTGCCGTTCTTAGTAGACAGCACAGTCCGCGTCACAGACGTGACAGGAGATTCTCACTCCAGACCATTGTGCCCCAACTAACAATGATAAGAACAACAAGTAGAAGAATGACTTGGTAATAGTAGTAGCAATACCGTTATTAATAGTCATACTGGTATTTTTCTATGAAAACTAAAGAAGCTGATTTAAGTGGATCTTCAGCGTGCCATGAAGTGTCCCCCAGCACGCCGGCGTAGCCTGCAGCGCCGCTGGATTCTGCGGCGGCAGAAGGCGAGGAGGGTCAGGGCCTCCCCTGCGCCTCTTTCTAGTGCAGAGGCGACGATGGCGGCTCTGCGGCAATTGCCGCAGGCAGAGCAACGGAGGTGGCTTTTAGAGCTACTTCAGGCCGACTTGAAGCAAGAGCAGGATGTTGAGGATGAGGCCTGGCGCATGCCTCGCCTGGATTCGGAGGCACGCACGGCGTCGGCTGGGGATGCTATGTCCTTCAAGACACGCAGTTGCTGCTTACAAGGTCTAGGGGCTGAGGAGTTGCAGAGCATGTTGAAGACCTGTCGCTTGGTTTTTGCATTGGACGGATCTTCCTGGATGCCTTGCAAACAAACTCCTCGCTGTTTTGCAGAGCGCCTAGCATTGACCATTTTTCGCCACCACACTGCCGGCTGTTCCTTTGATCCAGCCTGCTCAGGTGCAGAATGGTGGGCTCAAGTTCGCGAGAGTGGCCACAACGAGGAGGGCATACAATTCCACTGGGACACTGATGAGGTCGCTGTGGAGCGCCACAACGTAAATGTTCACCCGCACCTCAGTACTGTGACCTATCTCTCGGATTGCGGGGCGCCAACGTTGGTGCTGGCCTGTCGCAACTCGCGACGTCCAAGCTCCACAGAAACCACATACGGAGGTATCCAGGAAGGTGCACTTAGTTGGCCGCGACTGTGGAAGCATCTTGTCTTTGATGGCCAGTTTCTCCACGGGACCGTGCCTGCTGCGCAGGACAGCAGCACGGGCCAGCGTGTGACATTCTTGGTGAACATATGGCTCAACCACCGACCTAGCAATTGCAACCGGCTAGCCAAGAAGCTTAGCAGGCGTCTAGGTGACGCAGCAATTCCGGCCAACATGCTATCGGAGCTGCAGCAGCCCTCTGTCGTTTGGGAAGATGACCAACGTTCCCTTCGTAGCTGGGTTGCGAACCTTGAACCTTTTTTTTTGCGGCTATATGCAACCGTAACCGCTAGTATAAGTAAGAGGATAACCCTAATTACTGTTTTAGGCCAAGGACTTTTGCAGCATGATCCCTACATAAGTCCTTACATAATCCCTGTGTAATCCCTACATATAATCCCTATGTAACCCCTATATACGGAGTCGCTGTATACACAAACCCTAGATAATGCCGACATAACCAGGTTCCAATTCCATCGCGCTCCAGGCCAGCTTTGGACGGAGGAGTTTGAAACATCGGCTCGAATGCTACCTGCCGAAGACCCCGCCAAGCAGTGCCCGGACCATTTATATGGTTTTTTCTAGGTTTTAGGGTTTATGGTTTGCTGTTTAGCAGTTGCCAAGGGCTCCAGTTAATTTACCCTATAGTTACATGGCCCAGTAGCCTACTACTTAGTAAACTAGGAGCTTTAGGGAGCTCTTGTGTAAGATACCCTAAACCCTA